AATTACTCAAATTTTGACTTGTTATTAATAATCAACCTTTTATTACTAAGCTGCTGGTAAAATTCTAACCAAAGATATCTTTGCTAGGGTATTTGACTGTTGTTGTTTTTTTTTTTTTTTTATTGGTGGTCGGTCCTTAAACACTAAGTACACATCTACCTTTATTTTCTTCATGTGTGTTAACAAGTGACATGCCTCTTAACTCAAAGAACATTTTATTACAATTTAACACCTCTGATGTTTACCTGAACAGCAGTTAAGTATAGCAAACATTCTGTAGATGCATGGCCTTATCTAACAGAAAAAAAAGGAAATTTCTTCTAGAACACAACCTTATAGAAATTCTTGTTGGTATAATTATTAACACAGATAATAACCTGGATGCCATCAGGTTCACAAGATGAGTTGATAGAACTGAAACTAGAGTTTCAGCGACATGGGTATCACATTCACAATTCACTAATGACTAATGGAATCTGTCAAATAATGGGTTGATTTCATGTTCTCTGTAGATTTCAGATTACCCAAGAAAAGTTTTTTGCTATTTTCAGTTAGGACCCAGACCCAGACCTAGAATGCTCTGTATATGGTATTATGATATTTTCACATGTATGTATTTATTTATTTTATATAGATGATTATATACTTAAAATAGTCAATAAAATGCAGTGAAAAAAATCAAGAGATAAGGGAAGAAGAGTATATTCAGTATAGTTTTCCTCAAAATATTAGGTCTTCTTTTCTATCTTTATTTGTACATCATATGCTGAAAGTAACTAAATATGGCTTAGCAACCTAATTATAAGAGACAAATCTTTAACATTTATAGAAAAACAGGGTGTAAATTTTCATGGCTATGAATTGGATAGTGGATTCTTAGCTATGATAAAAAATAAGAATGATAAGGGGGAAATAACTAAACTTCAAAAAATTAAAGTTTTGTATTTCAAAAATTACTATTAAGAAAAGTAAAAACTCAGCACACAAAATGGGAAAAATATATGGCATATATTTAATGAAGAGTTTTAATTGAGGATGTACAAAGAACAGCAAAAAGAAAGCCAACTACAATGACAGTTAATCTATGACAAAGGAACCACAAATATACTCTGGGGCAAGGAAAGCATCTTCAGTAAATGGTGTTGTGAAGACTGGACAGCCACATGAAAAAGAATTAAACTTCACTACCTCACACCATCACAAATATCAATTCAAAATGGGTAAAAAACTTGTATTTAAGACCTGAAGCCATAAAAACAGACAAAAAATATATATAGGCAAAAGACCTCACAACATAAAAACAGGCAAAAATAAATTACAGGCAAAAGACTTCACAACATAAGCTTCAGTGATGTCTTCAGAGATACATCCCTAGCATCAAGAAAAACAAAAGAGAATATAGACAATTGGGACTCCATCAGTTTAAAATGTTTCTACATAGCAAAAAAAAATAATAATAATAATAAATAACTAAAATGAAATGCCACCATAGTGAATGGGAGAAAAAAGACATGTATCATACATCTGATAAGAGGCTAATATCAAAGATACACAAAGACCTCATACAACTCAACTGAATTAAAACAACAAAACAACAACAAAATAGCTCAATCATAAAGTGTGCAGAATAGCTAAGTAGGTGTTTTTCCTTAGAAGACATACAGATGGCCACAAACACATCAAAGATATGTCTTATTGTCAGGGAAATGCAAATCAAAACCACAATTAGGTACCACCTCACTCCTGTAAGAATGGCTCATATCAAAAAGACCAAAAATAACAAGTGCTGGTGGAGTATGGGCACTTTGGTGGTAGGATCGCACATAGAAACAACAATGTAAACCAATGTAAAAAATTTGAAAATTTTTAATGACCAAAGCTTTGTTTTTTGTTTTTGTTTTTAATGATTTATTTATTTATTTATACAAACACTGGGTACAGTCAGAAGCTCGGGAGGGTGAGAGAATTCACCAGAGCCAGAGCAGGGAACAGAACAGGCAGACTGACGAAATACACTGCTGAGGGGAGCAGTGGGCGCGGCAGGAGAGGTCTGCGCGCCATATGGGACCCTCGCCGACCCACCGGGGATCAAACCAGCACTGCAGAGGCTGCAGGCAGCTTTGCAGCCCAGCACTCAACCGCTGCGCCCCCGGGGAGGCCCAAAGACCAAAGCTTTGAATAGAGATTTTTCTAATAATATATGGAAATAACCAGTAAGCCTATGGAAAGGTGGTCAATACATTGGTTATCAGGGAAATTAAAATTAAAAACACGTATTACTTGGGACTTACTAGCATGTCTGTAATAAAAAAAACAGATGATAATAAGGGTTATGCAGATGAACTGGATACTTTCCTTGAATATAGGAATGTAAAATAGTGCCACCACTATTTAACAGGAAACATTTTAATAAGTTACACATAAATATTCAGTATGACTCAGTGATTCTTGTTATAGATTTTTACCCAAGAAAACTGTGAACATATTTTTGTACAAAGATTTCTACTCAAATGTCTATAGCAGAATTTATTCAGAATAGAGTGCAAGTAATAGAAGTGTTGATCCATTTGTACAATAACAAACATAAACATTATACTAAAAACCAGTACTGCATGATTTCATTTGTAGAAAAGGTCCAGAAAGGGCAAATATTTAGTGACAGAAAAATAAATTGCAATAGTGGTTGCCTAGGACTTAGGTTGTTAATGGGGATTGAAACAGACGTTAGGGATCCATTTGAAATGATGATCTAAAATTGGATTGTGGTGATGGTTACTTAACTCTATACATTTACTAAAATTTTTAAATTATACACATAAAACAGGTGAATTTTATGACATTTAAGTTATACCTCAATAAAATTGTTTTTAAAAGTCACATCTACAAAATATTGAAAGCTTTTTCAAATCAGAAAAAAAAATGCCCTATTGAAAATTATAGCTGTCAGTATAGAAGAAATATATAGCTCATATGCATATGGAAACATTTAATCTCAGTTGTTTACATTAAAACAGACACAATTTCTTTTATTTAATTTTACTTTATATTTTATGTTCTGTCAATATAGTATCAGATTTTTTAAAGACTGAATAAAATCTCTAGTGTAGAGGTTGGCAAAACTTTTCCTGTAAAAATATAAATTACAGGGCCTCCCCTGGTGGCACAGCGGTTGAGCGCTGGGCTGCGAGGCTGCATGCAGCCTCTGCAGCGCTGGTTCGCTCCCCGTCCACCGGCAAGGGTCTCCCACCAAAAAAAAAAAAAAATATATATATATATAAATTACACTGTCTTATATATTTTATATATATGAACAATATATATGTGTGTATGCATATATATATATATATATATAGAGAGAGAGAGAGAGAGAGAGTTCTCTGTTGTACTTTCTGTGAAAACAGGCAGAAGTAATATGTAAACAGATGGATATTGTTGTGTTAAAAAAAATTAAAAGCAATAGTGGTAGGACAGATACGACCCATATACTATATTGAATAGCTTTACCCTTAGCCTGCAAAAGAAACTTATGAGCATTTAAATTGTTAGTCCTTTCTGGAAACAAATTAGTCAAGTTTCAAAAATTTTATTTTCTTCTTTTTCATATTTACATCCACTATTAGGCTTTTGTCCCCTTGGGAAAAAAATCAGAGCTATCAAAATTTAAAAAAAAATACAATTACATGGATTACAATGATTTCATTTTGTCAAATTACATGTGTACAAATTTGTGTATGATGTATATACCTGTAGTTTCATAGAGGAACATCTAGAAATATATGCCTCCAATTCTTAATAGCATTTTTATTTATTGTTATAATTTTTGATAAAATGTTTTGAAGTTTTTATTTCCAGAGTTACTTATTTTTCTACAGAGAATATATAGAGCGATTCTTTAAATGAAGTATTAAAGTAAAAATCTGTATTGGCACATTTTCTTTAATAATTAAAAACATAAAAATGTGTCTTAATGTATTGATTTGAAGTTTTAGTTAATTAAGCTTTTATGAATACTCACTATATCTTTACACGAAAGCACTTACCAACTACATAAAACAAAGTTAATAACACATTACTTCAAAATATGATTAATTAAATATTCAAATTCATATCTAAAGTTGAAATATGAATGATTAGAGGCAATCAATCTATAAAGTCATTTGACAAGCACTACTGGTTGATTCCTTGTAAAAATTGACCTGAATCACCAAGTTATACACTTTTAATTACAGCAACAAATATTTCTGCTACATATTATTTCATACATTTATTAATTTCGCCCACTATCTTTCAAATGTCATTTGAACTGTTATATAAGCTGCAACATCTAAATCATTTTAATTGCTAAATTTCCTTCTCAGGACTACTTAAAAATAAAAAGGCAATTCAGGCAATTAATCTGTCAGCGAGAAAACAACATAGATAAAAGACTTGATTAGCTGGCAGCCACCTTATCAGACACTTCAGTTAACTATAATTTGGGGAATGCATCAACTTTAAGAAGAAAAAAAAACTGCAAATTTTAGATTCAGAAACAAAGCAAATGAAATCCCCCCAAATAAAGCTTTGGGGGGGAAAATCTACTTCTTTCTTCTTAAAAAGCAAAGCTTATCATTTAAATCCTTTTGACTGAAGGAAGTAAAGACTCAAGGAAGAGGACCTCCAACTCTCCTTCCACCACTCAAGGTTAATGCCTCCACTTCTTGCTTTTGATCATTTGTCAACCATGCCTGAGTCTAAACTACACTAGGCCCAGCAGAGCATTGTTTCTTCTATTATTTATTCTTTTTTCACTTAATTATTTTAACCATATAATATCCCAATATCTCTTTCATTTTAAAGAAACAATCACTTCAAAAAACTAAATTTTCAAGTTATTCAAGGATGTGTCTTCCCCACGTTGTTACCTTGTATTATTACTATCCCTTTCCCTTAAATCTGTGTTCTCTCCAACCATTCTAAATTCCTTCTTAGTTCATAAATGACATCTCAGGAACCATGTTCCATGCAAATTATAGTTTGTTTACTCAGAAAAACTTGATTTCTCCAGTGATATTTCTGTAAGTCCAGGTAAGCTGTTTAACTTCTCTCAATCTTAATTTTAGCATTTTTAAGGTCAGAATTATAGCTCTCATAATTATTTTGAAGACAAATTTTGAAAAAAATTGAGAAATTTAATATGAAGTTGTTATCTGTGCTGTTTTTAGAGCAGATATTGAATAAATAGTAAATATTATTTTAATTGCATTAGGTTTTCTAACTTCTATGGATGACTTTATCATCTACTTAAATACCTTCACCATTTTTTACCAGTTTAGCTCACCTCTACAGATTAATACTCAAATTATGTCAAACCAATGTTGCTAGCAATAAAGAGATTAGGTCCCATAGCACCTCTCCCTCAAAAATTGTGTGGTACGAAATCACTATACAAACTGCCGTGGAGAAGGGTTGTGATGGTCAGTGTTATAGGGGCGAGAGAATTCACCAGAGGCAGAGTGAGGGACAGAAAAGGCAGATTTATTGAATACACTGCAAAGGAAAGCAGTGGGCAAGAAGAGAGAGTGTTCCTCTCCAACAGGGAAGGTCTTGAGAATCTATATATTCTGATCTTGTGGGCTTCCTTTAAGATTTGGAATGCCTGTTTTTGAAGGCTGTTATCTATTGGCCTGTCTGGTCAGTAAAATTCCTGCATTCCTCTGAGTTCACATTATTAATGGCCACTGGTGGGCTTATGGCTTGGTTCTAATAATAACCTTTGGGATCCCTTATCTGCCAAAGGTTTTATGGCCTGGTTTCTATGATAAACCCTTGGTTCTCCTTATCTGTATAAGCCTCCAATTCTTGATAGAGAAGGAGTGAGGCCTCCTTTTTATCCCTGTAACCCTGATAACAAACTTTCAAAATCTGCACATTAATTTTGTATTCTACTCCCAAATCTTTAGCATCATACACAAACATTTGTGATGTTTTCCCACATCATTCCTTCAAAAACTGCTCCATTGAAATAGGGATACCCTCACTTTCTTGGTCATAATAGTCATTTGTTTCCATTCTCTGCCCTTGCTGCCTACAATTTGACCCAGTCTCTCTCACTCTTTCCCTCTTCCTCTCTTTCCCTCACTTTGTCACTTTCTCTCCATTTTTACCTTGTTTTGGGATTGAATTTACATGCTATCTCAGCTGGAAAGCTGCCCCTGAACCCTAAGGCAAGGTTACCCCCTTTCTAGTAACCACTGTATATTGAATATAGCTTGAATATTGCATTATATTTAAAGATTTCCCTCTCCCTATAAATGCATTGATGTATTTAATGACACAATTCATTCTGGATATTTAAAATATTCTTTGAGAGAATTAATGTATCATTTGATGATCTAGTCATTTTTTTAAAGATGTATTTATTTATGCATACAAGAACTGGGGTATAGGCCAGAGATGGGGGTATGTGTGTGAGAGGATTCACCAGAGACAGAGTGGGGAACAGAACGGGTGGATTGATTGATATACACTGTGGAAGGGAGCAGCGGGTGAGTCAGGAGAGGTCTGCTGTGCCATGTGGGTAGCTCCCTGGCTGGGGATTGAACTCGTGCTGCAGTGGCTGGGGATAGCTTCATAGGTTGTGTCTTAACCCCTTGTGCCACTAGGGATGCCTTCTAGTCATTTTTAATGTGTTATTGTGAATTTATGTTTAGAAACTTTGATTTCAAAGTATATACAATTCTTAAAAAGTTGTTTTATTGTTTATATGAAGAGAGACTGTCTTAACCCCCAACTGTTCATAGTAATCAGAAGAATGCACTATCTCAGACTCAGTGAAAAATGGGAAACAGGTATTCCTGGAATTGGCACAAAAACAATAATAAGGTGCTATGTATAAAGTACTAGAAATGTATCACTTTCATTATAAATGTTGCAGAAAACAGCTGAAGCTGATAATTTCCTAAAGCATAATATGAATCTAAATATGTGCACAAAATTCTTTGGATGTTCTTTTATGTCTTACCATAATTTCCTAAATTTAAAAGAACCGTAATAAACTGCCAAGTCACAATTTGTGTGATGAGATTCTAAACTTAATGTAATATAAGAATGAGAAAAATAGGGGCCTCCCTGGTGGCGCAGCGGTTGAGCGCTGGGTTGCGAAGCTGCCCGCGGCCTCTACAGCGCCGGTTCGATCCCCGGCTGCTCCCCAGCCACCGGAGGAGGGTCCCACATGGCGCGCAGACCTCTCCTGCCGCCCGCTGCTCCCCTCAGCAGTGTACTTCGGTCCTTCTGCCTGCTCTGCTCCCCGCTCTGGCCCTTCTGCCTGCTCTGCTCCCCGCTCTGGCTCTGGTGAATTCTCTCACCCTCCTGCGCTTCTGACTGTACCCAGTGCTTGTATAAATAAATAAATAAATAAATAAATCTTTAAAAAAAAAAAAAAAAGAATGAGAAAAATGGGCCTCCCTGGTGGCGCAAGGGGTTAAGCACCGCACTATGAAGCAGTCCACAGCCTCTGTAGCACGATTTCAATCCCTGGTCAGCCAGAGAGCAACCCATATGGCAAAGCAAACCTCTCCTGTCTTACCTGCTGCTCCTCTTAGTAGTGTATTTCAGTCAGTCTGCCTGTTCTGTTCCCCACTCTGTCTCTGGTGAATCCTCTCACCCCCCTGCATCTCTGTACTCCAGCCCTTGTATGCATAAATAAATAAATCTTTTTAAAAAATGAGAAAAACATCTACTTCACAACTGACTTCTATGTCACCCTGAAACATTTCTGATACCTATCAAGAAAATTACAAAAGACTGTTGTCATCTTTTCATTGATCTCAACCTACAGATGTGGTGCAATTCGGGGGGGGGGGTGGTATCTTTATGAATTAGAAAATAAATTAGAGGGTTGAAACATATATGGGCAAGAGGAGAAATGCAATCACACTGTCTGTGATATAGAAATTATTTCATTACCTGTAAGGAGACAGAGTAATTTTATAAAGAAGTAATATGATTGCATTGAGGAGCTAATTCTGGCTGTATGATAATCAGTATTTCAGAAGGGGAGGGGCTAGGTGTGTAATGTTATTGGTCTAAGAATTTCAAACTGGCATGACCACTCCAATCACTTCCTATAACACTAATCTTGTCACCTCTCTCATCTTGCTAAAATCTCTCCTTTTAATTTATACTCACTCATTTGAGATATTCTGGAATTCTCTTTTCCTATCCATGAATGCTATCTCTATGAGCAAAATCTTTCTGTCTCCTATTTTGTAGAATGGTCCTCTTTGAGACCACATTCCCCTTCCCATCTTTAGCCTAGTCAACTCTCTTCTTCATTCAGAAGGCATAAAAGATCAATTATACTCTTAACATCTCTAAACTGATTGTCTGTCTGTCTATCGATCTTTCAATCCATCATCTCACTACTCCATACCTACCCCCAAAGCACTCATCCCTTTGCAGTTGACCATTGTGCCCTTTTACCCCATTTTTTCCCATACTTTTCCTCCCCCTCCCCCTCTAGTAACCCAAATTCTACAGTCATGTTTTTAGGATTTGTTCTGATTTAGTTTTGTCAATTCCTTTATTTTGTTTCTGTCTATTCTACATATGAGTAAAATCATCTGGTATTTTTCTTACTGTGGGATACATGTGTATTTTGATTTGTTTATGCTATGAATGCTGTCTTTAAAACCAAATTAACTATGAGGATTTAAAAAAAAACAGGCTTGTTACTATAGATCTAAACTTGAGAACTTTCAGAAGACTGTTAGAAAATAAAGAACAAACACATTTAGGAGTAAAGGTTATAAGTTCTGGCTACTTGTACAACCTTTAATTGATCCTTAAAGCAAACTGCTCCTACATATAAAATCTTACACTGAATTCCAGTTTCTCTAATTGTGTCTCTATTATCTCTTATTTCTGAATGAACCTACCAATGGCTTGGTGTATTTTTCCATGTTTTAAGATAGACCACTTCTTGTCTATCTGTCTGCTCATTTTTTTTCTTCTCAGGTCCAGGATTATTGCTCCTAAGACTCAGTTCCATAATGAAACATGTGTACAATACTAAGCATTCACAGATACATGCTAGACACTCAAGTATTTAATCAATGAATAAAGAATATATTTTAATATTGAAGGTAGTTAACATCATTTATATAACCTATTATTTTTCATTGGCTCTTAGAAACCAATAACATGACCATAATTATTATCTATCATCTTTTTGTATTCTGTATTATATTCAGCCAGTCAATGTAAATTTCCCCCAAGAAAACAGCTGTACATAGGTCAGCCACCTTGATGTTTACTCCATATCACTAAGTTGTTTAGGCTCCAGATCTCTTCCATCTATGCTGAAATGGGTCATGCCTGACTGTGTCTCAAGATACGTCATATTTCATGCAACTTCCCTCCTCAAGACATTTTACAATTATCTTTTCAGAGTCAACATAAGATAGCAGATGGATAATCTACTTGAAGGAAACTTAGGTCATATATCATTAGGCACCAGGGAAATTCTATATGTAACCAAACATCTGCATTTGTAAAATAGAGCTGAAATCTTTCCAAAAAAAAATTCTCAAAGCCCAATTTCTTGCCAATTTAACATCTGAATAATGTAGGAAAGGTAATCATAAAAACAGAGTCAGTAAATTTTTGAGTAAAAGGGCCCGGAGAGATCAAGTTTTCCAGCTCAGTAATTTCACAGATGGAAATACAGAGCTTAGAGAAGTTAAACATTTCACTGAAGTTCACATAACTAGTTCCTGACAAAAGTGGGACTGAAATGCAAGTCTGTTCCCAGTGCTCTGTTACCATGATGCCAGCTCATTCTAGTCAATTTATTAAATACTATGGACATTATATATTGTAGACATTAAGGCTGCACTCTAAATATAATACCAAAGTTTCCAATCATTCTTAACAATGTTTCTGTAATCATAATGGAAAAATGGCAGTCTAAATTGTCTTTCATAGATGCCCAGAGAATGTTTTCTCTTGAAGGAAGTAATATCAAATTAGGATAACAAGATGCTTATAAAATGGATGTTTCCATTTGCAGAATTAAATATTTAGACCTTCCCAGAAATGTATTGGCATGAATTCTCATGTTTGCATATTTCCTTTCCAGTTTATAAGCAATATCCTAAGAAGCGAGGAAATGAGAAAAGGGGATTCAACATCACTGGAACATTCCAGCAACATCACTGGAAACTAAGGTAGATTATTTTCTAAATACCAAACACTATGAAGAATTTTTGAAGATACAGGTTAGATGAGTCTTTAACAGATTGATAAATTGTCTTCCTATAATATTATTACTTAATAAGAAAGAAATGGATGTGATGACTGGGATTAGGTAAAATGGAGTAAAAATTGACAAGGGGAGAGGTAAATTTGATTCAAGTTTTTTGTTCAGTGATTTTTTAATATGAAAGTTCCAGTGTGGGGACATTACTGATTGAAAGGTACAAGTGACCACTTGGGTTTGTGCCAGACACACTAGAAATTTGGCAATGCTGATAATAGCCCTGTACAAAAATGATCCCTGCACTCTCCCACATGCTTCACAGTTGGAATGTTTCATTGATTGTTCACAAAGGCTTACCAATAGCTGTGAGTGAGCTCTGTTTTACATATAACTATAAAGTATTGTTGAATAATTTTAATACTCAGTGAAGTTCACAGTAATGCAATTATTATGTAGAACAAGAAAAGTCCACACTTTTGGGGAAAGTTTGGAGAATTGTTTCTTGTGGTATTTAAATGGTTTATGTCATATTTGTTTCGGTCTGTACTGGTAGCCACGCATTCCGATACATGCTTCTGACGCTTTCGGTGTTGCTGCTCGTACCATCATTTCCCTGTTCTTATGTATGAAACAAGTTATTTTATCATAGGTTATTTTCCTTTTAATTGTAATGTATTTGGATACAGTGTTTTGAAAGAAATGCTGTCACAATTCTGAATTTAATTCAACATAGTCAAGGGGGGGGTCACTAAATATTTACTCAAAGTGACACATTTCGTCTGACTGGGGTTGAGCCATTGCTGTCTTCACAGTTGTGCAGAATTCAAGCCATCATTGTTAGCAAAGTTCAGGCTAAGGAATAGAGTGTGTGTGTCCTCTGTACTGCCAAAAGCAGGAGATATTGCTTTAGACTCACATGTATACAAAGACCAAGCAGGTGACTTATAAAAGGTGAAACACTGAGAATGCTGGCCTATAACATGAAGACAAGCACCCCTTCTGGCTGGTTGTTGTTCTAAAGCGTAGTCATTTATTTTGTTAAGCACACTGATATATCACTAATGTATCAGCTCAAGAGGGTCTTGGTGCTCCATCTATGTAGAAAGCCTTCACTGGTCAGCCCCTGCAAGGGCTGTCTTGATTGTAGGCAATGCCTCCCTCAGTACCATGCAGCACATACTTAACGCCAGTTTGATGTAGAATATGCAGATGGAACACTGTTTAACCAGTTCTCTCTAGAATGTTCTGGGGTTCAGTTAATGCTGGCAATCAGTTTGTCTCTGACTAACTTCCTTCCTTCCACACCTGTTGATCCTAGGGCACACTTTAATTAACATTCTGGCTATTAAACTCACTTTCAAAATTCTCTTCCAAGAGAACTAAATTTGCAACATTCAGTGTTAGTATCTCATGATAATTTTAGAAGAGAAACTGGCAGTGTGAATTCTTGTATCAACTCTCCTGATTTTTGATGGTTGCCAGCAAATTTAAATACTCTTCCCATTAACACATCTTTAGGCTACATTTAAATAAGTTAGGAAGACTTTAACTTACTCAAGACAGTTGTATCAGAATAAATACGAATAAAGCTCCTTTTGCTATTGAGTGTGTCCCAACTTAAACAACAAATGAATTTTGTGATTACCCTAGACAATCAGTTTGTTACTTCTTAAAAGAAAAGACATCCTGAGGCAGCCGATCCTTCCAGGCTCAATTAGGCAAAGTTTGTTAAACCAAAGTGTGGACCATGAGGCAACTAGGGTATATTTGTTTTTATACTGTGGTTGGCACCCTGGTGAAATTATGAAAAACCCATTTCAGTGTCAGAAATGATGGTAAGTCAACCAAGTCTGGAAAAATAATTTGTCGAAACCATTTCCTTAGTGAGAAATGAGAGAAGAATCGATGATATTCTCCTGTGTTTAATCATGTTCTTGATCCATTTACCTGTTTTCACAAGTTAATTGCAAAGCCTCTAATAAACTGGCAACAGATATTCCACTTTGACATGTTAGATAAAATGTTCTTTAAGTGTCTAGGAAACATAAAAATTATTACATCGGACCTCCATGGTGGCACAAGGGATTAAGACGCAACCTATGAGCTGTCCGCAGCCTTTGCAGCATTAGTTTGATCCCTGGCCTGCTGGGGAGAATCCTACATGGCGCAGCAGACCTCTCCTGACTCACCCTCTACTCCCCTCAGCAGTGTACTTCGTCAGTCTGCCTGTTCTGTTCCCCACTTTGTCTCTGGTGAATCCTCTCACTGCCCCCCACACAGCTCTGGCCTGTACCCCAGCTCTTATATGAATAAATAAATCTTTTAAAAAAAGATTGCATAGAAAATTTCAAAATAGATACAAATAAACACAAAGTGGAAAATTCAAGGAAAATATCACTGACATAAACATTTTTATTTTTTATTATTTATTTATTTATTAAAGATTTATTTATTTATACAAGCACTGGGTGCAGTCAGAAGCGCAGGAGGGTGAGAGAATCCACCAGAGCCAGAGTAGGGAGCAGAACAAGCAGACTGATGAAGTATACTGCTGAGGGGAGCAGCGGGCAGCAGGAGAGGTCTGTGCTCCATGTGGGACCCTCGCCCGGCAGCTGGGGATCGAACCGGCGCTGCAGAGGCTGTGGGCAGCTTCGCAACCCAGTGCTCAAATGCTGCGCCACCAGGGAGGCCCTACAAACACTTTTATAAAAATATACACACATAAACAAGTTTACTTTGGTAATAAGTTAATCAGTCAATTAACAGAATTTGGAGAAAAAGCTCAACTAATTAATTCTTGAATCAGAAAACAAGTAAAACTGCAGTAACATAATGCCTAGGTATCATAAGCTTTCCATAGCTTATCCTTAAGAGATGCACCAATAGTAGAAATCAAAGTCAAATCCATAACATTAAGGACATTCATTTTGTTTTAAAAATAAGATAAAAGATCTAGAGAAATGAACAGGAGGAAGAAATTCAACCATTATTAAAAAATAATTTGTTAGTGCAAGGGTAGCTTCTTTGAATAAATAAAAATTAAAATGTTCATATACTACCATAAGCAGGAACTGAAGTTGACCTTTGACACTGTGGATAATAGGGCCAAAGATTCCCCCACCTAAGAAAATCTGCAGCATATTTATGGTTAGTCCCCTGAATCCACAGGTTCGACATCCAGGGGTTGATTGAATCCATGCAGGCAGACCACATGGCTAGAAAAAATTCCTGCATAAGTAAACCCATGCATTTCAAACCCATGTTGTTCAGGAATAACTGTATATATTGTATAGTTATATGTGTATGTGTATATACAGTTGTTTATATCTATGCATATAGGAAAATATATGTAATGGGAAACTGAATTCTAATGCATATGTGAAGATGTGGAGGTAACACTGAGAACCGATAAAAATTTATGAACATGATAGTGTGAGTTAGCCTTTTATATAAACATCTCAATCTAGCAGGAAAAAATAAGACATCCTGATCCAAGAGACCCATGGAGTTCCAAGCAAATTAATTAATATTAGACTGACACACTACAAGATAGGTAATGAAACTGTTGAAAACCAATGACAAGGACAAAGTATTAAAAGCACTGAGAGAAGTGTAACATCTAAAGGAACATCTATTAAAATGTCTGCAGACACTTCATTGAAAATTTTGTAGGCAAGAAAGGAATACCAAGATATATAAGCAATTATTAATAGAACTAAATGGAAATATTTGCAGCAACACAGTTAATACCCCACTTAAAGCTATGACCGAGCAACAGAACAGATATAAATAAGGAAATAATAGGATTAAATGAACTAGAACAGATAAGCTTAAGAGACATGTATGAAACACTCCAGCCAAAACTATTGTATATATATATTTTTTCAAGTGCACATGGAACATTTTCAAAAATAGACCACATGATGGGACACAAATCAATTTCAAAAAACTAAGAAGTTTAAAATTATACAAAGTACTCTTTCTGATAATGATGTCAAATAGAAATCAGGTATTATAGAAAACTGGAGAAAACTTAAATATATTGACACTAAACATCATGCTACTTAATAACTATTGGATTAAACAGAAAATTAAAGCAACAATCAAAAATATTTCCAGACTAATGAAAATGAGGATATAAACTTTCAGAATGTAGCAAAAATAATCTCATGAAGGAAAATATTTGCAATATAAGCCCACATTAAAAATCAAGAAAAATTGCAAATAAATAACAATATCACACTTAAAAGCAGTTTGATAAAGAGGAATGAATAAGACCCAAAGTTAGTAGATGGAAGGAAATAATAAAAATAAGAGCAGAAATAAAAGAAATAGAAATGAAAAAGACCTCAGCACATGTATGGAAACCATCTTTATTGCCTGTACCTACTCACAAAATAATCTTGCAGGACATTTTTCTTTTAAAAATCTGTTTGGGCCTGCCCTATTCTTTCAGGAAAGGGTCATTGTGTACATGATGAGCTATTTCATGACCACTTGGATATGTGTGTGTGTGTGTGTGGCATCATCAGACTGGGCAACCAAACTAAATTTTGGGTAAGAGGTCTGGCCTCTATCTGTGTGGTGATCACATCACTCCTCTACTATTAGGTAAGACCTCACTCCTCCCATGGGATGAAGCAAATAAATGTGTTTCTGACATAGTAGTTTATTTTCCCATTTGTGTAGCTAGGTTAGAAGGAGTCTTATAATCAAGAACTTAGCGGGCAAGAGAGATTTTTTTTTTTTTTTTAATTTTCCTCTTTTTTTTTTTTCAAGTAAAACAAGTTTTGTTTATTTTATGTCCAGGAATATGTTAGGGTTGCAAGAGACCTCTGACACTTATTAGTCCAATCATTTCACCTTTGGGTTTCAAAGATGACTTGCACTAAGTCACATTAGCTGATCAGGAACAGAATCCAGAAAGAAGCTGTTCACAGGAGAGGGCGCCACTTTCCAAAGCTACTTTCTCCAGAAGAGACAAGAGTTTTGCTTTTTCTTAAGATTTTTTTTTATTTATACAATAGCTGGGGTACAGGTCAGAGGCACGAGAGGATGAGAGGATTCACCAGAGACAGAGTGGAGAGCAGAACAGACAGACCAAAAGCACTGCTGAGGAGAGCAGCGGCCACGACAGGAAAGGTATGCCTTGCCATGTGGGAATCTCCCTGGCTGTTTGGGAATCGAACCTGTGCTGCAGAGGCTACAGACAGCTTCACAGCACTGCCCTCAGCCTGCTGCACCACTGGGGAGGCCCAACAAGAGTTATTTTTATGTTGACATATTTCTTTATTATTATTTTTTAATTTTATATATTTTTACATCATATTTCATTTTTACACAATGTATGCATTTTCATTTTGGTTATAGTCCCCATACAATTCCCACCCTGCCTTGTTTTGATGCTACTCCCTCTTCCCTCCCCCGACTTCGTAGTGTGTTTCTGGTTTATAGTTGCTTGTTGAATTTTACTTTATTATAATTAGTCTTTTTCCTGGTCCCTTATTTAGTTTTTCTAAATTCCTGCTATAAGTGAGACTATCTGGTATTTTTCTTTTTCTTTCTGGCTTATTTTGCTGAACATGATCCCTTCCAGCTCCATCCATGTTGCTACAAAGCTCCATCCATGTTGCATGAGTTTATCTTTTTGCTTGCTGAGTAATATTCCACTCTATGTACCACATCGTTTTAATCCAGTCATCTATTTTTGGGCATTTGGGTTGTTTCCATAGCTTAGCTACTATAAATAGTGATGCTATAAACATAGGGGTGCAGGTGCCCTTTTGAATTAATGTTTCTGTGTCCTTTGGGTAAATACCTAGGAGTGGAATTGCTGAATCATATGGAAGCTCTATCTTTAGTAGGTTGAGGAATCTCCATACAGCTCTCCATAGTGGTTTGCACTCCCACCAGAAGTGCCGGAGAGTTCCTTTTTGTCCATATTCTCGCCAACATTTGTTGTTGCTAGTTTTTTTAATATGTGCCATTCTCACTGGTATAAGATGGTATCTCATTATAGTTTTGATTTGCATTTCCCTGATTACAAGTGATGTTGAACATTTTTTCATATGCCTGTTGGCCATTTGCATTTCCTCTTTGGAGAAATTTCTTTTTAGCTCTTCTGCCCATTTTTGACTGGTTTATTTACTTTGTTTTTGTTGAGTCTCATTAGCTCTTTGTAGATTTTCGTGATCAGTCCTTTATCATTAGTGTTGTGTGCAAAACTTTTCTCCCAATCGGTGCGATGTCTCTTTGTTTTGGTTACTGTTTCTTTTCCTGTACAGAAGCTCTTTAATTTGATGTAGTCCCAGCTGTTTATCTTTTACTTCAGTGTCACTGCTTTGAGTGATATGTCTTTAAAGATGGTCCTGAGGTGTATGTCATGTAGTGTTTTGCCTATATTTCCTTCTATATATTTTATGGTTTCAGGTCTTATGTCTAGTTCTTTAATCCATTTTGAGTTGGATTTTGTGCATGGTGTGAGGTAGTAGTCAAGCTTCATTCTCCTACAAGCAAATGGACCACAAAAAAGAAGGCAGGAACAGCTATACTTATATCAGATAAAACAGATTTCAAACTCAAAAAGGTAAAAAGGGACCCAGACAGTCACTACATTATGATCAAGGGGACAATACTTCAAGAAGACATAACACTCACTAACATATACTCACCCAATGAAGGAGCACCAAAATATATCAGACAACTATTATCATTTCTGAAAATAGATATCTGAAAAAATACATATGTAGTAGGAAACTTCAACACACCACTATCAAAAATGGATAGATCAATGAGACAAAAAATAAATAAGGACACTAAAGCTCTAAATAAGGATCTAGACCTCATGGATTTAACTGACATCTATAGAACACTAAACCCCCAAAAAACTGAGTACACGTTTTTCTCAAGCGCACACAGATCATTCTCCAGGATCGATCACACACTGAGACACAAGACAAACATCAACAGATACACCAAGATTGAAATCATACTAACCATCTTCTCTGACCATGAAGACATCAAACTAGAAATAAACCATAAAAAGAAGGCAAGGAACTCTCCTACCTCATGGAGATTGAAACATACACTACTGGAAGACCACTGGACTAATGAGGAGATCAAAGAATAAATTAAAAAAAAAAATACTTTGAGTTGAATGACAAGGAGGACACTAATTTCCTAAATGTATGGGATGCAACAAAAACAGTAATAAGAGGAAAATATATAGCAATACAGGTTCACATCAAGAAACAAGAAAGAACTCAGTGAAACAACCTAATAACATATCTCAAAGAACTAGAAAAAGAACAACAACAACAACAACAAAAACCCTAAAACCAGTAAAAGAAAGGAAAAAATAAAAATCAAAGCAGAGATAAATGAAATAGAGACTATTTTGTTTTCTTAACCATTGAACATAACCAAACCAAAACAAAACAAAACAAAACAAAACAAAACAAAAAAACAATGACTCCCCAGCATGGTTTTTGTTCTCTTTTGGGAAGATAAATATCAGGTAAGCTTTATAGTTTTAAAATTTTAATATGTTTTTCCAGGACCACTATTTAGTGAATTAAATTATGTCTTCAAATATACCCAAAATGGGTTAGACAGATACACTGCACACATCTAAAACCATATTTTTATAATATCCAAATGACCCATATTTCTCTTCTCAATTATTTATCCGATGTGAAGGGTTAATTTTGACTCACTAGGGATGAGTCAAAAAACCATTTTTTTTAAATAGAATGCCATTGGAGAATATCAAATATTAAAAAGTTACATTGTCATTATTGGTGAAAATGAGATGCCATATCTGGACGTATTTTACTTTTCCCAAGGATAATCAGATGCATGGTTGCCTTATTGAGGTCTTGGGTCTCTGAGCCTACTACCTATCATTTGCACAAAATACTCCAGGAAGAATGCTAAAATGTCTGTCAACCCAATGTAATGAATCCTTGAGCCATCCCCTCTCCTCTAGCTTGCACCTGTGATCTTAGAAGAGGTCAAATATAACCAGCTGAAATGTTATAATTCAAATGAATCTATGAATTGAATCTTAATAATACAGTGTCAAAAACAGTCTGCCCTATATTTAATCACTTAAAAATCCTTTTGTTAATCCCTAGGAAAAAATTAAAGTGAAAAATAAGTAGAAACCCCTTCAAAATAAAATATCACTGGGATCATCCTTGTTTTGTATTAGGTATATCACCTTACAAAATCATACTACACCCCCCACTAAAGCTGTCTTTTTTTTCCTAAGTCAATTTCAGACCCCAAATCACAAGTAGAAAGAACAGAAAACATTTTCACGACATTAGACATTAAAATTATGATAAGTCAACTTGTTTATAAAGTAAATCTAGAAAACTAGCAACCTAATTCTCATCCCCTAGAGTAACATAACATAATGTCAGCATGTCACGCTGTTATTCTGACAGTGTAACCCTAGGGAGGTTAAGCAATGTCTGTGTCTTAGGTAATGTCTTGGTTCAGAGATCTCAGTGGACCTATGCCCTGTCAGATTCAACTGAACACTAAATCTTTAGAATAATATATTTGCTTTGATTATAAACTTAGTTCTAACAGAATCATTAGTCTAAAATGCCGGTTCCCTAAATTTGCCTTTCACTTTGATCCCTACAAATATAAAATGTAGGAAGCTTCTGACAACACAGGCTCCCAAACTTGTTAATAGGTCTCCACCTAGGGTACCTCCAGATTTTCTTGAGTCATATGGGTACAGCTTTGCAGATGCTGGTGCCATGTTAACTGTGTTCAGGTGATAAGACTAAAGCATTGAGGCCTTGAATTCAGTTAACATGGCAAACCATTAACTGTTTTATATATTAATAGGAAACTGTCTACTTTCTCCATAGCAAAGGGCAATGTTTTCCAATTTATAAGCAAATGGACATTTAGGTCAATTTGAATTTCTTTTCAAAGTACTTTCATAGTTTTGCTCATAAACTTTGCTCTAGAGGTCAACAAACTATATGGCGTTGACATCATTTAAGAGGTGGTTACTGTCATTCTCACTACATAGATCATCAATAATACTCCAGTATTTCTCTAGATCCTTTGGGTTCATGTGTGAAATATGGAAGGCTTGATTAAGATAGACTAATTTAATACCAACAGTTTTACTTAATACCATTCTTATATTATTTCTATCCTGAATGTACACACTGAAATGCTTTTTTTTTAATGTCTATTTTTTTCCTCCTGTATTGGTGAGAGTCAAATCCTAGATACCAGTGTTTCAATGTTTCAGATATTACTGGGAGACTCTCCTCCATTATTGCTTAGAGAGACTGTCATGTCTCAAATCAGCATGCATTGTGCCATCCAATTCTAATATAAAGATCCTGTATTTTTGTCGAGTGAATATATTTGACTAACATACAAATAAAACAAGATTAGACAGGTTTCTTTACTAAGAAAAAATGTTGACAGTGTTGCATTCTCTCTTCTACATTGAGAGAATTGATTCGATTTCACAAATTTGACTGCCTGATTTAACTAGCCTTTCAAAGTTGGGCTAGTGTAAAGCTAGTATATACAATTAAAAGCATAAATAAACAGACCTGTGCCTTTATCAGGGGCTAGTTCAAGCTGTTAGATATGTATGACAGCCAGATTTAAGAGCTTGCCAAGATTAAGACTTTAGAAAAACCAGATGATTCCAAAGGTATTCTGGTCTCCCCAGGACTTTGGGGTCACTGTGGTATTTACACTTCATTATGAGAGTGATCATGAAACATCTTTTTTTTTTTTTAAAGATTATTTATTTATTTATACATGCACTGGGTACAGTCAGAAGCGCAGGAGGGTGAGAGAACTCACCAGAGCCAGAGCGGAGAGCAGAGCAGGCAGAAGGACCCAAGTACACTGCTGAGGGGAGTAGCGGGCGGCAGGAGAGGTCTGCGTGCCATGTGGGACCCTCCTCCGGTGGCTGGGGAGCATCCGGGGATCGAACCGGCATCGCAGTGGCTGCGGGCAGCTTCGCAACCCAGCGCTCAACTGCCTCGCCAACAGGGAGGCCCCATGAAACATCTTTAGAGGGAAACTGATCACAATCCAAAGTTATAGTCAGTTTTCTTATAGTTTCTCAGACTGC